GGGACTAACAATGTTCATAGGGGATAGGGAAGACAACATATATTCATTTAATTGCACACGCTGTCACTGTACGGTGTAAACGTCTTCTGGCTTGGCTCAGTCATTTTCCGAATTGTCAACCAGGCTTCAGAACCCGTATGTCATATCGCCACACTGCCACCACCTGGCCGAAAACATCCACTGCAGGGATTTTTGTAGCCAAGAAGTTCTTCCGCCTTTTTCCGACCTCGATCAGGACGTCCCGACCGTCAGCTAACACCCTCCCACAAGGGAGATTGGTGTGCCCACCCTCTCTAAGGAGTGGTTCCCATTTTATCTACTCGCCGAAGCTTTCGAATCGCTGGGTGGACGATGAGCTGGGGACAACAGGCTGGCTGCTCACACCAGCGCGGGGCTCGAACTAACACAGTTCGAATGTTAAGACAGTGGGATATACCCACTGTGCCACCACTCCCCTTACCTTATTCCAGGTAATAAAAAGCAAATTTGCATATTTACCAGTAAAAACATGTCTTGTGGCTCTCAAACATCTGACATTTAGTCTATGTGGCTCTTACGTCAAGCACGTTTGGCCACCCCTGTACTAGATACTGAGATGAACTAGTTGAACTCATTGCGAAAAGAAAGGCTTTTCAGGCTGGAGTTTTACATTTAGAACAGTAGATCCCCACAGTCTACAGTGTGACGCTTGTTTATTTCAGTTGGTAGATAACTTATCTTCTTCGTGCTCTCTATGCATCACACACATAGGAACTCAAGCCCGTATAGATTGCAGCTTTATGGACAAAGTTTCAACACCTAGCTACAGCTGTCTCCTTTTTTAAAGTAATATTTATTTCAGGAAAAAAAGACGTTTATGGCAGTGTCCCTTCTAAGCTGAGTTAGTGTGAACTGGCTCACAGTTTTTTAGCCTCTGGCTCACACATTTTTATCTTAGCTCAGGAAGGATGGTTCCGGAGCAAACTAATTTATGCAGTAGCCAAATCGCTCGCTTGCAACTTTACAATGCTAGGAGCTCACAAAGTAGAATTTTTGCTCACAAGACTCTGCAGCTTAGAGGGAGCAGTGTTTACGGTACAATACAGTGTCAAGTCATGCTGCTGTCTCTTTTTCTGACCAGGAGTTTATTCTTCTATAGTTTCATTAGGCTCTAATGATAAAAGACAGCCCATGCTATTCAGCCTACTGAGAGCATCTGCGGAAGAAGTCAACTGTATATTTCCTTCACCATTAATGCTTTCTTGGGTTTTCTTTTCCATGCAGACTTGTCCATAGCCCCTGAACGGGCTCTCTGCCTACTCATGTAAATATGGATTCGTTCATTAGACTCACTTGTTCTTCCATGGCTGTGAGAGAGTTGGTAGGGCACTGGACTGTGGAGACTTGGGTTCATACTGTGATTCAGTTATAGGTCTCCAGGTTCTGTTACCACGTGTGAGCCAAAGACGTACATACCCATCATGGAATCATAGGCTGAGTTCAGACTGGCAGTTTGGCCCGATATAGGCACATTTCAGAAACGTTTCTCAAATGGATTAAAGGGGCCGTTCACACAGGCACAGCTGTCTGGCGTTCCCCAGCCGTACTCAGCCCGTCTTAGAATCATAGAATCATAGAATGTTAGAGTTGGGAAGGAACCTTGCAGGTCATCTAGTCCAACCCCCTGCACTCTGCAGGACCATAGCCGAAAGACAGCCCTACAACATACCCGAAAGATGGTCGTCCAGCCTCCGCTTGAAAACGTCCAGCGAAGGAGCACCCACCATGTCCCGAGGCAGACTGTTCCACTGCTCAACCACTCTTACAGTTAGGAAGTTTCTCCTGATATTTAGCCGGTATCGACTCTTTTGTAATTTCCACCAATTAGCTCTAGTCTTGCAGTCCGAAGCAAGAGAGAATAGATCTGCTCCATCTTCTACATGACAGCCCTTCAAATACTTGCATTTGTATCTTGTAACACTTCCCTCCTGAGTTTAAAAAGTACCTGGTGAAAGTGGTAGCAAACCCTGGAGAGCACGTTCATCCCGCTTCCCGGAAGTGTGAATGCTGAAAGTCGCAATTGCTGATGCGCATAAGCGCATATTGCCAGATTACTAAAAAGAAAGCCGCACCTTACAGCCGAGCCTCTGCCAGGGGCGGGCCAACAGTGCAAACGCTCACTTGCGCCTCCTCCCCAGTATGCTCCCACATCAGTCAGTGCCGTGTGACTGGGAATACCCGGGACAAGTTGTTCCAGGTCTTTTTTGCGAAGACTCCCTCGCACTTCAAACTGCCAGTCTGAACTCAGCCATAAAATTGGAAGGGACCTCCAGGGTCATCTAGTCCACCCCCCTGCACAATGCAGGAAATTCACAAATACCTCCCTCTCCACACCCGCAGTGACCGCTGTTCCATGCCCAGAAGATGACAAAAAACCCTCCAGGATTGCTTCCTGCCCCCAAAGTGGCAATCCGCATTTCCCTGGGTGTGTAAGAAAGGGCCACGAGAACTAAGTACTGATGCAGGCCTCCCTGTCCTCCCTGTCATGATCTGCCAGAGTTCACAGACTCTGCAGTGTAAATCAGTGTAAATGTGGCTCACTTTCCAGTCCAAATCTGCACTGAAATGTTGTGAGTGCAAAGAAGAAGGGGGGGGGACCCCCCTCCTTTTGCCATCTTGTGGCTTTTGTTCTACACCCATTGCTCCCAATTCGGGCAGTGACCCACACGTGGATCTTTGACAAAGTGGCTAGTACCTCTACAGCCTAGGAAGGGACAGTAGGAAAAGAGACATAGAATTTGTTGAAGGTAATAATGGGCTGGGAAGTTAGAAAACTCAGGCAGTCAAAATAATACCAAGAATTGAATTATAACACCCAATATTATAAGCCCACATAAAAAGCCAGTGTCTCTAAGCATCCAGATGCTGTAGAAAGAAGACTATAGCTGGCCTATCTCTTGAAGCCCAAGTGGGGATCCATCCAAGGCAGAGGTCCAAACATCTGGGCAGCAAATAATCCAGAGTGGAAGAAGCAGGGGCCGTTTCTCATTACAGTCCGAAAGGATAGATTGTATTAGAGAAGCAGCCAAGTAGAAAAAGAAACTATGCCTTTTCTTTCTAGGCTTGGGCAGAAGAGAGAGAGTGTGGTGCAGTGGTTTGGAATGTCACAGAAGGACAGTCAGTGCTCAGCTCAGCAAAAAGCTTATTAAGTGAACATAGACCAGTCACCCTCTTTCCCAGCTCAATCTACCTTAGAAAGTGGTTATTGCTTGTGAGCTGTGTATGAGTTCCTTGGACTAAAGGCAGGATTAAAATATAAATGATTTGACAGAGGAGTGTAGGGGGCAAAGTGGGCAGCCAGTCAGGTGGCACACTTGGTTGAAAGGGCAGATTGGCAGTTCACATCTTGAAAATATTTCCAGCTAGAGCACAAGTAGGGAAGGTTTTGAGGGAAGGAGACGATTGTCTTTGGGGGGGGGGATCTTGGTCTGATCAGAAGAATGGAACTTTGGCAGACCACTCCGAATAATCTACATCAGGTTTTCTTCCCACAGACTGATATTTATTTGAGAGAACTTCACATGCTGGATTCTTTTAGTGGCTAAAGGCACACTGATCAAACACTGAGAGTCCTTGATTAATCTATTGGATGGCCAAAACAGGATGTGGCAAGGCTTCTCCTGGTGATAGCCATTTTGCTGTATATAGGGTCATGAAATTAGGTCTGTTTCTGCTCGTCTGCTTGGATCTCTTGTTTTTTTTGACTCGTTAATAGTAGGAAATTGTTTATTGACTTAATGCAAAGACAGACAAAAGCTTGTCCCAGTACTAAGGTGGAGGGGGGTGGTTGGTGGTGGTAGTGGTGGTTGAGAAATATGAACCACAATTGGGGCAGGTCAGCATTTTCATCTGGAAAGACGATAAAAGGAGCTGCAGTGGATCATCTAGCCTGGCACTGCCTTTTGTGACTGAAAGCACTTATCGAAGATGCTGGGTTGGGTCCAGCAAAAGGATCACGGACCTTCACTTCTTTTCCCTTCCTCCAGCAGCCGTTTCCCATGGAGTACTGGCCACGTGGGTTGGTTGGCTACAGTGACGAGGGAGATGGGGGAGAAACAATGTTGTCCTTTCCCTTGTATCGGATCCTTCCCACTTGAAGTCTTCCAACACAATGGCCGTTAGCCCACACAGGTTCCAAGACCCCAAGAATAAACTTTCCTGGGATCAGAAATGACCTCTGCTGATGACCTATGTGCACTCCTTGTTCCTGCTCATCATCATCATCATCATCATCATCATGCTTAGCATTTGTACATTGTTTTCAAGTGTCCAAAGCTCTCCATTTGCATTATTTCACTGTAAAGGACGGGATTCAAACCAATGACTTGTTGGTCTGTTGTTCAGACTCTCTGGGATCTCTTCATTGTACAAAGTTATGCCAAAAATTTTTTGGTAAAGACTCTAAACAAGGTGCTGAAATCAGGATGAGGAACCGTGTTAGTCTGTAGGAGTAGAAAAGAGCAAGAGTCCAGTTATGTTAAAGACATAACAAAATTTGTGTCAATGAGTGAGCTTTCACGAGTCACTGCTCACTTTTTCCCTTGGTATCTTCACTTGGTATCTGGAGAAGTGATCAGCGGCTCACTGAAGCTCCTCCCCTGTCACAAGTTTTGTTAGTCTTTAAGGTGCTACTGGACTCTTGCTTTTTTTCTACTGCTGAAATCAGTTTTAACATAAAAAGATTATTTTTATTTTAAAATACGTGATTTAACATGATGTTAGAGTAGTCAAGCAGTTTTGCATTACAGATTTGTGACTTAGGCGCTTAAGGACTGAGCAGTTTAAAAACAGCACTGTAAACATATAGCTGGGATTTGATGGACTATAGGTATATGTGGGCCCCAGAGGGGCATTAGTGATCCCTATCCTCAGTGCTTTTGAGCACAAACTTGCTCTGAGGATATCACACGTTGTCCAAACGTTGCCATAAAACTGAGTTTGTAATCGCCCTTCCGTTTCAGGTAAAGAACAGTCTTCGCTGGACTTGAACACGTTGCCCAATCCCGCGCCTCCGCTGCCCAGTTTCCCAAAAGAGTCCAGCTCCTCCAAGCACAGCGAGCACCATCACCACCATCATCACGAGCACAAGAAGAAGAAGAAGAAGCACAAACACAAGCATAAGCACAAGCACAAACACGACAGCAAGGAGAAGGAGAAGGAGCCCTTCACCTTCTCCAACAGCCCAGCCAGCGGGCGCTCGGTCCGCTCTCCCTCCCTGTCAGACTGAAGCGAGCCACTCTCGCGCCGCCACGGCTCTTTCGGAAGGCCCCCAGGTCGGTCCAGGCTTCCTAAGAGCGTTGCCAAAATGAATTGTGTTTTTAAAACCTTTGATGACTGCCGCAAAGGCAAAGCGTGTTTTAAACAGAAGCCAGCTGCTGGAGCCTCTGGAAAAGTTGCGGTTCCGTGTTGTATAACGTCATGTTGGCCTCCCGAGAAAACAAAGGCCCCTGACTGATCTCTTTTCAACATGTCGTTTAACCGTCGCCGTTGTCCCACCGTGTTCTAATTTTTTTTTAAATGTTTGCACAGTTGAAGTTGAAAACTTCTTATTTTTAGGATGTTGACTTAAAAAAAATTATGCACATGACCCACGCGACTCGGACTTGCATTTGGCAATCACTTCCACAACTTTTTTTTTTTTGGTGGCAGGAAAAAAAAATGCAGCTGTTTTGCTGTGTCCTGTAATCAGCCTCGTAATTATATAATTAAGTTTGGGCAGAAACAAGCCCTTGCAGAATTGGCAATGCGCATCTTTCATGTCAGTTAACCTTTCAAAAGCACTCCTTGTAAAAAGTGGCACAGTTGGGGGGGAACGACATCTGCAGAAACTTTTTAAAACTGTTATGATAAACTTTTCTTGAAACTGTGTGATGGATAACAATCCCTTGAATGTACAGTAGGCTGCAATGTAGGATGCTTGGATATATGAAGTAGCAACATCTAGCAAGTATTCAGTTTCCAGAGCTGAGTGAATATTGCAGATATGTATATATTATTATTGTTATTATTATTTCATCTTTGTGTAGTTGTAAGTACATCTTTCTTTCCCTCTGCAGTTTCCAAGGATACTTTTAAGTTGCTCTTCCATCTGGTTTGTGTTCCCCCCCCCCTCCTTTGTTAAGTTTGGCCTTTAGATTAAGTATTTTATTTGATGTGCTTGTGTTATTTTTTTTGTCATAAAGCCCATTGACAGTGGAGACAACACTGAACAGCGCCAATCCAGGAAAAGCGATTTCAAGAAGGGACTCAAAACGGATTTTCTAAGGAGACCATCAGTTGTTAATAAACACTTTTATACAGTCTTGCTGTTAATTGTGTGCTTGCTGTATAAAATCATCAGGGTATAAACATGAGCCAGTGGGAGAGAAAACAGGCTTTTGCCTTCTCTTTGTAACTAAAACAGTATTATATAAAAAGTACAGGATGTCTGTTATTCAGCCTCTTAGATTGAGACTGCAAATGTAGACACGGCCCCCATGACGTGCATGTCTTTGTTTCTTTCAGCTGGAGTCTGCACGGATTTGGTATTGGCACCGTGTATTCTCGCCTCAGATTTTATTGTTTTAACCAATAAAGGCACAGAGATGGTTAACTTCTAATCAGAAGCAATGTTGTGCGAAACCAAGAAAAGGAAGAAAAAATCTGCACTATCTTAGAGAAGGCACTGAATGTCACAAGAGCACCAGTAGGGACCTGCTTTATTTGCACTATCAAAACAGTTTTTTCCAGGACACATACTGAACCCGTAACATGCAAAGTGTCCTCTAGATAGGTGTGGGTGTGGACTACTACTAAAGTTGTGGTGAATCGTAGAACATTGCGCCGGTGCGATGACCTCACTTGCAGTTTGCTCCAGAGGTGATGTCATGACACTGATGGGAGATTGACTCCGCCCCCTCCCCATTTTCCCCTGCTGCCCTGTTGAGTGCTGGTAGAGAAGAAGGAGGGTGGAGTCCAGGGTGGGAATTCTTCTGTTATAATTGGAGACCTGGCTGCCCTATTTAAATTTCTCCGATAAAACAGCATTTTTCCCCCAGCTTAGCATTCCATGTTGTTCTAAAAAGCCATCTTCCGGTGCACATGTGGAGAGTGTGTGCTCAGCATGACAGGTCATCTCTTCCTACGTTTATCCTCACAATAACCCTGTGAGGTAGATTTGGCTTAACGTGAGTGACTGGCCTAAGGTCCCCCACTGAAATCCTTCACTGAGTGCAGATGTTGAACTTTGGTCGCCCAAGTCCTAGTCAGCACCCTAACCACTGCAGTACACTACACTACAATGTATCCCCCACACAAAAAAAGCTAGAAATCAGGCTTTACCTCTCTTTGGGACCATATTTAGATCTAATGCAATAAAAGGCACTGCTTCATTTATTTTATTGTTTGTTTTGAATTTTATTACATTGCTTCTCAAGGAACCCGCCCAAGGTGTTTTATCCCAAAAGAGTGTTAAAATCCAGCTTCTCATTGAAGGTAGAATTACATAATAGTTACTAATTTTACCAGGGGGGGGGGGGGCTTGGCTTGTTTGTCCATCCTGTGCAGAGGATTAAAAGGACCAAACATACAGTCCCCCACCTCTGTGTACCTGGCCCAGGGTGTCTGTGCTCCTCAGCCCACTTGGGGCATAGCCCTTATTGGTAGTACCTCTGCTTTGCCACATGGAGTCTCATAAGTGATAGTAAAGATTTCAGAGCTCATGGTGAACAGTTGTGGGGGTGAACCCAAGTTAGCCTTCAACTGTATAGCCTCCTAATCATGACTTGAGGTGCCAAAGAAAGTGTTTTAAGCACATTTCCTGCAGGAGCGCACAGGAGCAGAGCTCCGGCAGTAAAGAGCCCAGGGGGCGGGCACATGCAACAAGCCCCACCCCCTGCTCCCAGCAGCCCTCGGTCAGAGCAAGAAGCAGCCAGGTAAGTTGCAGAGCCCTCCCCTCGGCCCCCCGGTCCAAAACAGTCCAGTGGCACCTTTAAGACCAAGTTTTATTCAGGTACAAGCTCTCCCTCCTCTGCGAGGACAGATCTGCACGTCCCCCCACACACAATAGCTAGCCATCCAAAACAGTCCAGTGGAGCCTGAGCAGTGGGTGTTGCCTTCTGACACACTTCCAGTGATGTCAGGGGGTGTGGCATATGCAAATAAGTTATGCTAATGAGGTATGTTAATGAGCTCCTGCAGCTCTTTTTCTACGAAGTGACCCCTGGTTTTAAGTTTGGTTTTGGTGCCATGAAACAAGCGCTGCTTTGATGTATGATACATGCCTATGTTTGAGTGTTTGTCCTTGCTAGTGAATAGTATAATTTTTTTAATATGAATGTGTAGTTAATTAGTTCAACTTCAGTATTTTTCCATGTCAAATTAACAGAAAATGCATTTGTGGCTGATGTTTTGTCTCTTATGTGCAGCTCAGAGTGTGTGTGTGTGTGTGTGTTGGAAATTGATCATGGCTAATCCTGTTTCTTAGAAATACAACTTTTTTTTTTTGACCCAGTCTCTATGCAACACTAACTAAACTGCCCCGAGGCAACTGCAGCATAGAAAAGATCACTTTGTAAGAAAGTACCTACTGTGTCACTGTGGTGCTATACTTTATGTGTATTTCCATGATACTTTTTCCTGACAAGTACCAGCTATCACTGAAATTAGCATATCAGACTAGGATAACCTGAGTTCAAATATCGACTAAGCCAGGAAACTCACTGGGAGTCCTTGGGTCAATACCAATTTTTCAGCCCAACCTGTACCAAAAGGTTGTGAGGATAACATGGTGGAGGGAGGCAGGAAAGAGAGCCACATATGCTTCATGCTCTTTGAGGGGTAGGGTGATATGAAAACGTCAAAAATAATCATTCACGTGAGGCTCTTTCCTTAAAATCTGCCTCCATTCCTGAGGACTGGAAGGTAGCTAATGTCACTCCCATCTTTAAAAAGGGTTCCAGAGGAGATCCGGGAAATTACAGGCCAGTCAGTCTGACGTCGATACCGGGTAAATTGGTGGAAACCATTATTAAGGAAAGAATTAGTAGGCACATAGATGAACAAAACCTATTGAGGCAGACTCAGCATGGGTTCTGTAAGGGAAGTTCTTGTCTCAATAACCTGTTAGTGTTCTTTGAGGGAGTGAACAAACATGTGGACAAGGGGGATCCAATAGATATTGTTTACCTTGACTTCCAGAAAGCTTTTGATAAAGTTCCTCATCAAAGGCTACTAAGTAAGCTCAAAAATCATGGGATAAAAGGACAAGTCCTTTTATGGATCAAAAACTGGCTAATTAATAGAAAACAGAGAGTGAGTATAAATTGGCAATTTTCTCAGTGGAGGGTGGTAAGCAGTGGGGTACCGCAGGGATCAGTACTTGGTCCACTGCTTTTTAACTTGTTCATTAATGATTTGGAGTTGGGAGTCAGCAGTGAAGTGGCTAAATTTGTGGATGATACGAAGTTGTTCAGGGTGGTGAAAACCAGTGAGGATTGTGAGGCACTCCAAAGGGATCTGTCAAGGATGGGCAAGTAGGCATCAACATGGCAATTGGGGTTAAATGTGGCCAAGTGCAAGGTGATGCACATTGGAGCCAAAAATCCTAAATATAAATACACATTGATGGGGTCTGAACTGGCAGAGACTGAGCAAGAGAGAGATCTTGGAGTTGTAGTGGATAACTCACTGAAAATGTCGAGACAGTGTGTGACTGCAATAAAGAAGGCCAATGCTATGCTGGGGATTATTAGGAAGGGTATTGAAAACAGATCAGCCAATATAATAATGCCCCTATATAAATCAATGGTGAGACCTCATTTGGAATACTGTGTGCAGTTCTGGGCACCACACCTTAAAAAAGATATTATAGCTTTGGAAAAAGTGCAGAAAAGGGCAACTCGAATGATAAAAGGGTTGGAACACTTTCCCTATGAGGAAAGGTTAAAGCGCTTAGGGCTCTTTAGCTTGGAGAAAAGACGACTAAGGGGTGACATGATCGAGGTTTATAAGATTATGCATGGGAAAGAGCAGGTAAAGAAAGAGGTACTTTTCTCCCTTTCTCACAATACAAGAACTCGTGGGCACTCCATGAAACTGCAGAGCGGTCGGGTTAGAACGGATAAAAGGAAGTACTTCTTCACCCAAAGAGTGATTAACACATGGAATTCACTGCCACAGGAAGTGGTGGGTGCTACAAGCATGGACGGCTTCAAAAGGGAATTAGATAAGCATATGGAGCAGAGGTCCATCAGTGGCTATTAGCCACAAGGTATAGCTAGGGGCTCTGGGGCAAGTGATGCTCTGTCTTCTTGGTGCTTGGGGGGGGGTCAACAGTGGGAGGGCTTCTAATGTCCTGGCCCCACTGCTGGACCTCCTGATGGCACTGGTATTTCTGGCCACCCACCCGGCGGCAGCTTTCGCACACTTTCGGGGGGATTTTAACATCCCCCCGATTTTTTAAAAAACTTTTTTTATTTTTGTGCACACGTGGGTACTGGCCCACGTGTGCACAAACCTCCCCCGGCCCCCCAGCTGCCCCCTCCGTGTTGATTTAAGTATCCGCACGGAGGGGGCAACTTGGCTATTAGTATAAGGATGCATGGGAAAGAGCAGGTAGAGAAAGAGGTACTTTTCTCCCTTTCTCATAATACAAGAACTCGTGGGCACTCCATGAAATTGCTGAGCGGTCGGGTTAGAACGGATAAAAGGAAGTACTTCTTCACCCAAAGAGTGATTAACACATGGAATTCACTGCCACAG